CTTTGTAAAAGTCGTATATCAAATACTAGAGACTTGTGCTTCGGTATACACATATATTTTAACATTATGATTACGTTCTGAAAGTTTCATTACGATCGTACGTCTAGAAATTAAATTATTCAACAAATAAGTTCTCATAATATTGCCACCACTGCAGCGCAACCCAAGCGCAATCGCCTGTATATGTATCGCCTGTATCTCGTAGTCGAGCAGTCTCGACTAGAGCTTTCTTTCTTGTTGTAGCTATCTATGAATGATATTATTCTTTTATCTGTTCACATTACATTAATTATATATGTTTGTGTATATTTATTGAAAAATATCCTACTACATTCAGAGCGCAGTTCTCATACCCCAGCCTTTGTATAACATTCGCTGCACTTTCAATAGGGTATGAAAAAGGCAAAATTTGAATTACATAACAAGGCCTTCAAAATGTACTTGAATTGATAAACTGCAATATCTAATTTGATTACAATGATGGAGCTTTGAGCAGCTATTTGAGTGCTCAACAGTCCAACCGTCTCATTATTTATTGTAAATAACTGATTTGACACGTCCGCACAATAGACCAAAAGGTCAGCGGACAAATAATATCCTGAAAGCCGCAGTGGTCCCATGGCAATACCGAGAGGTAAGTAAACTCGAAGCTCAAAGGTCGCAGGAAAACAATCAATGCGGCATCCTGAATCAAGCAGACAGGTTTTTAGCCAAAGTAAGGGGCAATGAGGATGGCAGGACGAACAACAATTTCGATACGCAATACGATTGAAAAAAGTGCACCAGAGTAAATGCAAAAGCATTTCAATTTACATTATTTTTCACTAACAGGTATAAGAATAGTATGGAAACAAATGGAACTCGATTTTAGGCACTTACCTTAACCATCAGCGCCGAAGTCCGTTCGGAGGTGTTATAAAATTGGGAGACACTGTAGATCAATCGCACCGTCTGCAAGAGACTCAATATAGACTCCTTCATGCTGACCGGGTCGTCCAGATATAGCGAATGGCAACACGTTTCCATTGCCTGAATGAACTTGGAATTGTCCCGCGCCTCGTTGTAGCAGAAGGTTATTTTGCGATCGGTTTCCTTCCACTGGCGCATTATCCTCGAGCCGGCGAGGAAGAGGCAGTGCAGGGTGAACTGCACTTCCTTGTCCTGCAGGTGGGCCAACAGCTGGGAGAATTGGGCGCCTCGCTTCTTCCAATACTCCAGCTCGTCCTGGGGTCCACTGTGATCGTTCTCCTTGCGCAGCTGCTCGCTCTCGCCCAGAATTTTGAGTATGCCCTTTGACCAGTTATTCACACGTTCCTCCAGCTGTGCGCAAAACTCCTGATTCTTTGCCATGTCCTTCACCTCATCGACCACAACGCAGCCATCGAACATGTCGCACCCATCGGCAAATACGTTATAATGATCGCAGACCTGTTCGCAAACACGCAACGCGCTGCAGAAGGATCGCAAGCCCGGCAGCAGCTGACCCATAATAAGTCCGCAGCTCACATCCTCCTCATCGCCCTCGAGGCTGGGGAAGGCCAACGCCTGCATAAACACAAACTCGACAATGCGCTCGATGGAGGTGACCAGGCCAATATTCTTGGCATCGATGACGCCACAGTATCTAGTCGAGTGAACGAGACGGCAGGCGAAAATATTCAATTACCAAAACCCTCCAGCAGTGTGGGTGGGAATTTATATATGTATGTGTGGGTGTGAGAGTGTGTGCATTGCATAAATCCCCGATAATCCATGTGCCAACAAATAAACCCTAAATTGGCTATTCTTAGATAACAGTTTTTTGAATTTGAATTTGGCCAACAAAAGTGAAACTTATGAAAGATAAACAGAAGCGCAAACCGAAACTGAAAACAAATGACGAGAGTAGACGACTTATTGATACCCAGTAAGTGCCAATAAATATCTGTTTAGACATCTACAGCTGAACTATATAATTGAACAGGCTTGGATGTCAGAGCAAGACAGCAAACCGAACGTAACCAACGGGACTATACCCGTAACCACATAGTGTTAATGAATATACCCTATTTGCAATAGAAACAGGGTAAATATTACTTCAGCCACTTACAAATCCTTTTGAAAGCCCTCCTCTGGCAGCTGCTTAGACGTATTCACGCGAAAGATATAAATACAGACGCCAGTGAAGGCGCAGGTCCAGCCATCAGTTAGAAATAGTTTCTTCTGCTTGGGCGGAGGCAGCCCGCTGGGCGAGGCGCCGCCTAAAAGAGCAAGCGTATGGAATATGGGCATATATTATATAGCTAACGTACCCTGTGGCGTCTTTGAGCTACTCGATGCCATGCCCGTTCGTGACGGTCCCGGCTTATTGGCATCCACTACGGGCGGCGGCTCCGGCTCATCCACTTCTTGATAGAACCAGAGTAACTTGTTCTTCATATTCGGCAAAAATAGCTGATTGATCTCATCGAGCTGCGAATGTATATATATAAATAATCTATGTGATTTGGTGGCATTAGAGCTAGTTAACAGTGCGCTACCATATCCCCTTCGAATATATAATCCATGAGCTGATGCCGCGGCAGCTGCGTCGCATCGATCAGCAGTTGGAAGGTAAACTCCAACCGGGGATCCATTTCCCCGCGGCGAGCCTTGCGTTCGCATTCTTCGCGCCGGCGCTGCGCTTCGTCCGGGTCCATGGCCATAGTTTTTTTTTTTTATTTGTTTTTATGAAAGTTCCAATAATTGGATCATAAATATTTTTTCAGTTATGCAATCCGTCGAACCGTTGAAGTACCATAAAAAACGCGCAGTAAAAATTTAATAGGTGCCGCAGAATATTTTTTATGTTTAAATTAATTATATATAAATACATGCATATTTATTTTGTTGTTAAAAATTGTTAATCAAATCATTATTTTTTTGAACGAATTTATTTTGTATCATATTTATTATTATAATTTTCATATTTTTTGATTTATTTTGTATTTAATAATTTTGTTATTTAATATTTTTATTTTAAAGAAATGTTTATATAATTCATATAATTTGTTTATTATTGTGAATATATAGTTCATTTATTTATAGTTTTTCGCCATTGCAAAATTCAAAAACGGGGAAAGACCAAAAATATATTAGTTTGAAAAATAGTTGTGTTGTTCTCTGTTTTTGTTGTGCAAATTCAGTGCAAACAAAAAACTTGTTGCCGCAATGCGTTCAAAAGTAATTAAATATATTTATGCAAAATTCAAAACTACTTACAGCAAGATTTGCCATTACAACAACTAGAGCAACTTTTACTTTCAACTTTTACTTTTACTTTCAACTCTTACTTCAAAAGTGCTGCTAGAAAAAAAGAATACAAATACGTTGTCTCAAAAAACAAACAATTATCTATTGTTTAAGGTTGTTGTGTGAATAGCTAAGTATATAGTTTTAGTTATTGAAATCTCGAGTTTTTTCTGCAAAGAGAGTGGAGCATTCCGGAAATGGCATTACAAATGTGTTCCGAAACAAAATTATAAATATATAATAATAGGTTGATTAATATATGCATATACATACATATGTACAACCAAATATCGACAGCTTTTTTTATGTATATATAAATATATTTATGTACATATGTATTTATCTAATTCGTTAGCCAAATTTCTATTAGCTTTGTTCATCTACAGCGCATAACCTTATAATACAATACACAAATTTATTTTTTCGCTTTTTACACCAGTCAAAGGATTACATAATCAGCCAACGAGTACAAGGCGCTAAGAAGTTAATACTACAATTTGTACTGAAGCAATAGTTGTTAATAGTAATTGAACTGCCCACTAATTGGTTAATTAGCTAGTTGGATGTTTCGTTTTGTTTAGTTTTACTTAATCGTTCAATTGGCACCTGTAAAATGTCTCCTTCGTCCTCCTCCTCTTCTTCGTCCTCACTGGCACTGCCAGCATTTGCACGCATTGCCAAAACATGTTCGACCAATTTTTTCTTTTGCACAAACATGCTGTCAATAATTTCACAGAATAAAAAAAGCAAATAATTTTATAAATTTACTATTTTTTAATTGAGCTTTTATCACACAGCTATTATGCACGACTATGAAAATCAATGTAATAACTTTATCGAGCAAACAAAGTCGCAGCGAAATCGAATTTCGCGCCAGTCGTCATGGTAACAAAAAGTCTCCAAAACGACTGGCACGATCACTTTTGGCGCCAAGACTTAAATTTTTTCATATCCTTAGAGATATTTACTAAAACATTCATATAATTAAAAAAGATTTGTTAAATTAAAACATCTACATAGTTAAAAAACATTTTAATATCCGTTAAATACAGTATTTGTGTCTCAATAAGTACGTTTAAACACTATCCTACACTGAAATATCGATTGGAAAATGATTCGATATTTATACACATCGATACATATTTATAAGTACACCATAACAGCGATAGCTCTGTTAAATTTAAATATGCATCAGTTTGTAGTTATTTATATGAATTATTAATAATGCCGTGTATTATTATTATGGCCAAGCTTAAGCTTTCAATTACTTAACACGTCATTAATATGATTCGCGTTAAGAATCCTCTCTCATTTCAATAAATATAGAATATTAGCAAATGTTAACTTAACAGTGACAAGTGAGAGCCAGACGATATGAACTAGATGAACGAATATTTGTTCGCTCAGTTGTGTGAATCGCTCCGTCGAGCTGAATGATTCGATACAACTTTAATCTGGACGCGTGCTGTTCTTTATACAGAAAAATTGTGGAAAAGTGCCGAAACAAATAAATTAGGAGATTAGTAACAAATTCTAAATACCCAAAATAGGTAAGTTATGCGTTTTACATATGAGTGTAACGAAATGCTGTATAAGCAAGCAATAAATCGTGTCATAAGTGCGTCTAAAAAATAAAACTACGGCAATGGGAAAATCAAAATGGCGTAAGCGGTGCAAAAAAGGAATGAGCAAAAAGTAGCGGCATATGAGCCAATCAGATATTGTAATAAAGTATATAAATATGTGAATAGTATTTTAAAATATCATTTTTATATGCATATATTTATGTTTATGTATTTTGTGTTCTTCTGCTTCCCGGTCAGCTCATCGACAGAGTTGCCGCCATCTGAATCAGCACCATGTCGAACGCAGATGTGCAGTACAATCAAGGCTTCAATCAGAATCAGGACAATAGCGAGGACTATAATGATGACAATGACCAGCAGCAACAGGATGACGACCAATACGATAACGATCAGAACGATGGCGACAACGACTCAAATGTGAAGATCGGAAGCGTTGGCGAGAGTCCCAAGTTTATAAGACTGCGCGGTCTACCCTGGTCTGCAACGCACAAAGAGATTCTCGACTTCTTGGTTAACGTGGAAGTGCTTAATGGATCACAGGGCATTCATCTGGTCACCAGCCGACTGGATGGCAAGAATACAGGTGAAGCCTATGTCGAAGTTGCCAGCCAAGAAGATGTCGAAGAGGCACGCAAGCTAAATAAAGCTAGTATGGGTCATCGATACATCGAGGGTACGTCGGACCAGCGATCAAGCCTACCATGATATTAAATTGTTATCCTTATGCTATTATAGTCTTCGTGGCAACGCCCAAGGAGGCAAAAGAAGCTATGCGCAAAACAGGCGGTCATGGTCATGCCTTTGTTGTGAAACTACGTGGATTGCCCTACGCTGTCACAGAACAACAGATCGAGGAGTTCTTTACCGGTAAGACATTACCTGGCTTCCTGTCTCTGTTTTGATTTACATATATTTAGCGCGCAGAGAAGAACTCATTGTTAAACGTACCGATTCGATGCATGTGCAAGCATATGTATATTTGTATTTAAATATATATGTATTTTAATAGATATACATATATATTATACTTATATTTATATGTATATTTCTATGAAATATTCTATACCATTGAGCTATGAACTGAGTGTTAGTCTTGGGTTCCACCTAAGTTGTATACCCAAACGTCTGGGGTGTTAGCATCCAAGGACCAGGGGTCGTTAAATGCTCACACATCAAGAATAATACATTATCCATATATTTTCCATTTTACTCACATATACACGTTACATTACTTTTTGGCTAACCCAGTACAAACATTTATTTGTTAAATGTATTTCGGATTGTTAAAATATTCCAATCGATCGTAATGTCAGCTTTTTGTTTCTTTTATTTATTTATCTGATAAATACTTATCAACAATTCTAATGCACAATCAGTCTGCAAGTCAAACATATTTATTTTTACGTCGTTTCTCGTATATGTATTTTGAAAATGCCATCCTTCAAATAGGTGGTCTATCGGGAACTCCCAAAAGTTCTTTGTGAGCAACAACAAAAATAAGACAAGCACCTCTTCTCTATAAACAAAAATATATATATAATATCGCCCACTCTTTCTTTCTCTGTATCTATCGTTAACCTTGCAATACATATATATATGTAAATATATATCACTATATATTTGTATAAATCTTTGTTGGTTATCGTCATGGGCAGGGTTGGAAATCAAAACGGATCGGGAGGGCATACTTTTTGTTATGGACAGAAGGGGTCGTGCAACTGGGGAAGCTTTTGTTCAGTTCGAAAGCCAGGATGACACTGAGCAAGCCTTGGGCCGAAATCGGGAAAAAATTGGGCACAGGTGGGTCTCTTACACATCATTTATATACCAACTACAACAGCAACAACAACAACATCGAAATACATTCAATGGTAACATGAATAAATAAAATAAAAATGTCTTTAAATTGTTGCAGTTATGTCAACAAATTAAAGCAAAATGCTAATTCTTATACGTTCCTATTTCAGTAAAAAATATATTGCTTTGAGCAACAATTACATTGTGCATATATATCTAGTTTGCATATAGAGCACAGGCTATGGGTGCAAACGAACAACAGATAACGCCTTATTAACAAGAGAAAGATTTGATAAGCTATATACATGCTTCTATTTAACATTCCTATACCCAGTTGTCTTTTCTCTTAAAGGATAAACTTGAATAAAATGGATTAATATGTTATTTACCATAGTAAACATCTATCTATTTGAATCTCTTAATTGATTAAGTCTGTTAACATTCTCAAGACAATTTGAAGTAAAGTTCTTTTATGATCTTTTCTTTTTCAATTATCCTAGGTATATTGAGATATTCCGCAGCTCCATTGCTGAGATGAAGCGAGCCACAGGCGGCGGTGTCGGTGGACGTCCCGGACCATATGATATACGTGATCGCGGTGCCAATCGTGGTGGAAACGACTTCGGTGGACGCAATGGTAAGTGTGAGCATTGTAAGCCCTAAAATGGGTCAGTCGAAACTCAGCTCAAAGCACATTTATTTTGAATTGTATAAAACTAATTTGTTGCTTGATCCGATTCACTCCTATCACAAACGTTATTTTATACATAGCATTAGAAACTAATGTTCGAATGGACCATTCTCTATTTGCAGACTGGGGCAACAACGGCAACTTTGGTGTGGGCGCCAATAATATGCTGGGCTTCAACAATCTGCCCAGTCTAATGAACTCGGGTAATTTTGGTAATAACTCCGGTGGTGGAGGCGGTAACAACGGCAATTTTGGTCAAAACGCCGGTAATTTTGGCAATTTTGGTAACGATTTTGGCGATTTTAACAATTTTGGAAACAATCGCAGCAGCAACAATGGCAACAATTTCGGTGAGTCTGAAAAGACATCTATGAAAAATCAGAGCAATTCAAATCAATTCAATAATTACTGGCTCTTTAATTGGTTAAATTTAATTTCTTATTGTCATAATAATTTAAATCTATTAAATTTAAGTAATTTTATTTGGCTTCCCTCACAAATCTATACTAAACTATAATGATCTGACCTTTGTCAGAGGTATTTTATTTTAATTAAATTTAGTAACTGTTCTTAGAACTCGATAATTTTAAATAACTAAGTCAATATGTCGTCTATTTGCAGATATGCCAGGAAACTTTGGCAATAGCGGTGGCGGCGGCGGCGGCGGCGGCGGCGGTTTTGGTAATTTTGGCAACAATTCAGGGGGCGGCGGCGGAGGAGGAGGTGGTTTTAACAGTGGAGGGGGTGTTGGTGGCTTCAACAATGGGGGCAGCGGTGGTGGTTTCAACAATGGCGGCAACTCTGGCGGTGGCTTCAACGGCGGTGGCAGCGGGTTTGGCAACTTTCCCAATAATGCCGGTGGTGGTGGCTTCAACAATGGCGGCTTCAACAATGGTATTGGTGGCTTTAACAACGGCGGTGGCGGCTTCAACAATGGTGGCGGCGGATTTAACAACGGCGGCTTCAACAATGGTGGCAACTTTGGATCGGCCGGTGGTAACTTCGGACCCATTGGAGGTGGTCGCAACAATGATGTGGAATATTACACCATTCACATGCGAGGACTGCCCTACAATTCATTCGAAAATGACGTGTTCAAGGTAAGTGTTAAAGTCCGAATAGCTGTACGGATCTTTCAAGGTAATATTCTTGATTCTATTTGGCAGTTCTTCGATCCCATACGTCCGGCCAACGTGCGCATCAACTACAATAAAAAGGGACTGCACAGTGGAACCGCTGACGCCTACTTTGACACGTATGATGATTCGCAGTTGGCCATGAAGCGCCATCGCGAGCAAATGGGCACCCGCTATATTGAACTCTTCTATGATGGGAAAACTCGCGGCGGTGTTAATGTCGGTGGTGGCGTTGGAGGTGGCGGTGGCGGTGGCGGTGGCGGTGTTGGCATTGGAGCTGGCAATGGTGGCGGCGGTGGTGGTGGTGCCGGAGGTGGCGGTGGCTTCTCACGACGTATTTAAACGCTTCCTTTTACATTAATTCCATAATTTTTCATACGTTAATGTAATCGCAAGTATTTTATAAGTTTGTGGGCCACATAAAAGCGGTAGACAACTATCGAACGCACCATAGCGGATACCATAATGGGCAGAGACCATGTCGCTTGTGAAAAGAATTGCGACGTTTCAATTCTAAGGAAACCACTCACACACCCACATACACACATATTTTAAATAATTTAAGCAAAAATGTATCTACAATCTAGACGGCCCCGTCCCTCTAGTAGGATTATAACAAGACAAATGGAATAGAAACAAACAAATGTCAATTTTATTTTAATTTCCGAATCAATCATCCAGACATGACAACAAGAACAACAAAATTGTAAACAGCTATTATACAATAAAATTTATAAACCAACAAAGACATTTGTATTGCATTTAATGATAATCCTGATCGGACTTATAGGTAGATATAAGATGTATTAGTACACGTACATTAGTTCGCATTGCTTAATATTTAGAACGAGTGATGATACGATGTAATTGCTCTATATTGTATATAAATAAGGTTTTGAAGTTGTAGCAGTCGTACTATATAATATGTATATGGATTGTATTGCTTTGTATATATGTATGTACATATATATATACATGTAAACAGTTTGCACTGCCTGCATCAGTTTATTTTTTTTCAAATTCGTACTCCACACCACACTGGCCTGATGTTAGGTCTCATCTAAGCATTCTATCTTTTTATTCAAAATAATATTTGCACGTATTTGCCCACAATTGAAAAGCATCGTGGCAAGCTCTCTCAGTCCACGATCAACTTGGAGAAGCATGTACTATTTCCCAGACAGTGCCAATTATAGGTATATATACTATATCAATCCAGATCAGCAACAGATCATACTATATATACACACATGCAATACTGTGGACTTGGTCAACAAACGTCGCGGCAGTTGCATTATTGTTTTTCTTATTGTGGCGATCGCGCGCGCATTCCACAATTCTAAAATTCTACGGAAGTCGACGTGAAGGGGCAAACAAATGGCAATTTCGTTAAACGTCGCCCATAAATTAGTCGAGCGCAAGTAAAAACAATTGTTAATATAGTAGAAATAAGTATATAACTCATATATAATGTGGAATATCTAAAGTAAATACGGGTTATTTATTGTAGCGCCGTTAACATTGCAAAGAGAAAAAAAAAGTGTCAATTCGAATGGGTTGTTATTGTTTTTTCTATCCACTCTCCAGGTGAGAAATGGGGCAGGGAAAAATATGCTAACATGTAACTCAAAATAAAATATATAATATTGCGAGATCTGCTTCTAATGAATGCAAGTGTTAAAGCGAATGTCAGTTGGAAAAAATAAGCGGTATTCCCTATATTACGCTCAGAAAAAATATTATAATACACATATAAGAGGCAACAACAAAATATAATGTATGAACATTTTTGTTCTATCTATTAAATTGCATATATTTAATAAGGTTGATAATTAAAATTTCGTTAGTTCAATATGCGAAATTTATACAGCTTAAAAAATTTATATTTTAAAATACATACTTAAAAATGTATATTTGTCTATATGTATGTATATACTTTTGGGTATTTAAAATATTTATTGATGTATATGTATTAAAGATATGTATAACGTATGATAAAGTAAGTATAGCTAATACCTAGTACAGTCGACATATTTCCACTATATAAGTAATATGTATTGTATTAATCATATTTCTAGGAACTTTACGCTATTACAATTATAATCTTAATCCAATTGACGTTAGCGAAACTAAATTGATTTTTGTTTCATACCACATTTTACTTTCTTCCACCTAAATAAATATACTATTGGTGTATATCTCTGTAGCGTTAGATAGATAAGTTACGCTTAAGAGACAACGTCAATGATAATTTTCGCTAATTATATGGCAATAAAATATGTACGAGACCCGAAATAGATAATGCCGTCACATACCGGGCCGTAAAAAGACGTCTATCAAAATTCTGATCACACATGGAAGATCTGCTTTTGTTCTTTCTTGTGGGTTTGGTCTTTTATTGCTATCTGCCATTTCAAATGGTGGGCATAATAAATTCACGTGACCCAAGAAGGAAATATGAACATCTTTACATATGCCCAAAAATTATAACGCTCTAATCAGCAATATCTATTTGCCAAGTAATTTATGCGCTTCACGATGCGACAACAGACGAAAACTCAAACTCAATTGTTTGACTTTTTGCTTTTATCTGATTGTTGAGGCGTGTGTGCAAGGTTTATTTATGAAAGTACTCGTAATTTGTAAGTCAAATCGTATCGTGTTTAAGTTTGCAATATCATATTTAAGTATGTGAAAGCACGAAAATTCAGCTCGAGTAAAGCTAAAGATTCACATAGACAGTTTACGGAACATTAAATCAATTATTATCTGTAGGCTATATTAAAATGTATTTAATCTTCATTTCTTATTATAAAATATTTATTCTAAATTTGTTCTAACGTAGTTATTATATAAACAGTTTTTTTTTTTTAATTTTTAGGCAATTATGATAAGTTTAATTAAATTTTGCTTGTGAAATTTGCTAAAAATTATCTATTTTGAATTCCAATTCTATTTAACATATTTCTATCATAATAATAAATATTTGGGCATCGTCTCTCCGCCGAACGAAACGCACGTACTATTATTTAATGTGACAATTATAATAACAATGAAAATTATTGAAATTTACACAACAAGCGGGAGTATGTGATTATATGAAACATTTAGAAATATGGTCAAGCTATAGCTATACGAATTACAGTTCTAAATACGGAATATTCATTTGCAAAAATGTAATTAATCGTAGATCATTAACTGTAGGTGTAATGGCATCGGTGGTAGTAGCTATAATTAGTAGCTGTAAAGCAAAATTATCAATTGGGTTAGAGAGGACTTTATGCCCTTGTGTGGGGTGTTAATTAATGAGCGGTATGATGATTCGATTTCAGTTAATATAGAAAATTAATAATATATGTACGTCGAATTGATGGCAGGAAATTAATTTTAAAATTGCTACACAACTCTGGATTGCTGACAATTCAGCAATATAGTTATTCGATTTTAATTAGTTTGGATATAAATAACATCTATCTATCTAAGGCAGCAAATTGATTTGTAAATTGTTACCCTCGACTTGGCTAAATTAGATTGCCGTTTGTTAAATGGAATAACTATAACAAAAATCCCCGACATTTTTACATTATTCAAACACACTAATTTCAACCATTAAACAAAAACAAGTTGTTTAACAATGCGAAAGTCTGAAAAATACTTCATTGGGACAGGTCTGGAGCTACTATAGATTAAAATATATTCATTCTCTCTTTAAGGGCGTATTGATAGGCTAATATAATAATATGTGTATAAAATATACAAAATAACATACTTAAATAATGTAGCTGTGCGAATTTCACGATGAGCGAAGTGAAATTTCCGACGAACGCGAATAAAATTCGAAGTCAACTCGAATTAGAGAGCCATTGGGAATATCAAAATTGCTCGAATGCAAATCAGCTGATCAGCAACGTCATCAATCGAAACGGAACGAGCTGCCGAACTGACCGAAGGTGATAACCGGGTCCGGCAGCAACCAAACTACCTAAAAACAACAACAACGGTGACAGCAACAGCAGCAGTAGCAGAAGCAGCAGCAACAGAGCTAGCAGCACCGGCGACGACGACGACGACACCGGCAGTCAATGTCAGAACGCGAAACGGCGGCGTTGACAACGGAGCTGCTCTAGAACCGCTCTGCCAGCTCGGGAAACTTTCAGCTAATACGCAAAGTGAACGTGGCTAATAGTATAACAAAGAAAATTAACCGAATCAATCAAAGCGTCAATCAAGCGGAATATGCGCACTCACAACAACAACTACAACAGCAAGTGTCTTGGGCAACAGCAACAACAATAGACGTGAACAAATCAAAACACGCGCTCAGCAGGTGGCACAGGTGCGATCAAAGGGTGGTGCAGAAGAGGGGACCGTGAATTACGGGCTTTGCACAGTTTTCTATACCGCGCACAATTGAATTCATTGTTTTTATTTTAATTATATTTAAATACCAGTAAATTATGTACCGTGTAGATCATTTCGAACAAAACTGAATGATTGTATTTTATATACACTGCCATGCAAACAATTTAATGTGTTCCTAAACTACAACAAAATATTAAACACAAGACTTTTAACATTTCTAAATCATAAGTCATTCCCTTCAATCGTGTTTCAACAAGAAACTTCCAACATTTCAACTTCTGCTAAGCAAAAACAAAATCAGTCTACCCTGCATTCCCACTTTCAACGAGTTCAGAGTATAAAAAAAAAATACTCTACATATGAGTGTTTAGTTAAGCTGACTTGTTAGGTCTCAAGAACCAGCTTAGCATATAGATTGCTGAAAATCTTCAAGAGCTTTTTAATTAAATAAACTTGAATCTTGAGCAGGCACTTTTATACGCCTATCGGGCATTCCCATTATAGATCATCCATAATAGGAAACGTAAAATGATCGTATTCACCTAATCGGTTAAAAACTAACCGCAAATCTGGCTCTTAATACGATTACAATAAAAAGCAAGTAAATAAAGTAATAAACAAGTAAAAATCAAATCAGCATGATTTACATAAAATAGATTTATGAAATACATAAACTATTTTTAGCACCTTGTCAAGTGAAAAAAATACAATCTACAGAATTGAAACAGTCAACAAAAATTTGTTGGATTTTCGCAGTGTCATAAAATGAAATATAAACCGCGTGAAGTGGATAAAAACATAAAAAAGCGAGAGTATAAATAAATATATATACATATAGTTAGTATGCAAATGACACACATTTGAGTAATTCAGTTTTTTAATTTTTGTTAAATATATAAAAGGAATATATATACATTAGCTTCGAAAGCAAAATAAAAATCGTATAAAATTTGAGTGTTTGTAGCTCATTATCAGCGCGCGGTTGGACTGAAAAAAATACACGCAATAATATAAAAAATATCAAAAATCCAAACTGGCTGAAACCGCTTTACACTTGATTTTCTGCTGTAACGCAAATAAGAACTTTGTATGCAAATGCCAAAGCTAGACATATGTAAGTGTATTTACCCTCGTCGTATAGCTGCTAAGTGCTCTGCGCCTGATTCATAAATCTTTCAAATTTGTCGTCATAATGCTGACAAAAGATTAAGGCATTTTAATAAATCTTCGTAGGTAGGCACGAGCTTGCAAGTGTTTGCTTTAATTTTTACAATATAGCGATTGTAAATTAAAGCCCGTTGAGCACTTGGATTTGAAATATCTGGATTACTCAGTTTTTGGTATACGATAAGCCCGTTGCCGGAGTATTTAGTAGGGAAATGGCCTCGTGAGCTCTCTCTTGAGCAAAATAATGCACAAAGATAAAATTATCTTCGAGTTTTGTTTTCTCAGTGTGTTCTCTACGCTATGCGATCTCATTTTGAGTAATTAGAGAGTGCGAAAGATGCTTTAACACACCTCAACAAGATTCATATATCTTGTATTTTTGCAAATAAAACTGTTTGAAGACAAATAAGAGGCTTTATATATTATTTATTTCGAAATAAGAAGATGATTTCTACAGTTCGAGTTAATATAACGAATGAATTTATCAACACTGAAAAACATAAAATGACTTTACTCCGTTAATCCTGTTTATTAGTGTAGACTTCACTAATACAAGTGCACGCTGCATAGCGCAGCGGCCTTCATAGTAATGTTCTCCTTAATTCACACTCTCTGCATGTAATCTTTATCGCATGACATTCTCTCTCTTTCACTCATTATCGCTCTCTCTCTCACTCTAATAAGCATACAACTTGTTTTGCATCCCAATTCACAGCCAATTTACATGTGGGGGCGATCGTTGGGTGTTTAGTGTTAGCTGCAAGAGAGAGAGAGAGAGAGGGAGAGAGAGATATACAGAGAAAGAGGGCGACAAATGGGGGTGGGTATAATGTTTGCTCATGCATAATTTAATTAGCTTAGCTAATAAAGCAGCTCGTATACAGTTATTTACAATATGCTATTTATTTTTATATCATTCCAGCCAAAAACAATAAATACACGACCATAATATATTGCCACAGTTAATTAATTCCAGACAGGAAAAAACAACAACAACAACAACATAAAAGAAGCAAAAAATTAAATAATTGTTGCTAATTTCTGTCCGTATTTGGAGTTAATCCAGGGCGCAGATAGCACAGATAGAACAGATAATGAAACTATGATACATTTGACAATTTTTGTTGTCGTCGTTCCTAATTAAGCCGTCACACACTCAAGTGCGCCACTTCAAATAGTTCGGAGCACCCCGCCCACAATCTCGCTCACTATCGCAGTGCCAAACAACAGCAACAGCAGCTAGTAGTCGTAGTAGAAGACGAAGAGGAAGAACTATAAGAAGTGAAGGTTTATACCGGTACAACAAACGCGCTGTCAACGCTGCCGTCGGAGTCAGCTGCTCCGCAAACTGAACGCATTTTCGTTTTTGCTCGCTATAGAAAGAGTGCGTGTGTGTGCGTGTGTAGAAGAAACTGAGCGCGACGCGTCGCGACGTTGGCTGCACTCCCGCTCAGTGCGCCCAACTTTCCGCAATCGAGAATCGCAGCAGAGCTTGGGATGAGTTGTGACTGTGGCGTTGGCGTTGGCGTTGTCGTTGACGTTGACGTTGGCGCTGGCATCTCTGCCGCTGCAAAGGAAGTCGATCTTGTGAGTCGCTTGGTGCAACACAAAAGTGCAGCTAATTGAATTTAATGCACAAGCAAAAGGAATTTGATTTCATTTTCACATGTGACGCATACGCAGAGCCCACAGCAGAGCCAAACGCAATGCGGAAAGAAAGTGCGAGTGAAAAAACAAAGCAAATCGCGAATCTGCACAGTGAATGCAAATGCAAAGTAAACAACGCAAATAAAAGCACATAAACAAAAGAAAATCAGTGCAAACAGTGGAATTCCAATTACAATACATTAATATTCAAAGCAACTGCATATTATTGTGATATTGCAACATGTTTAACAAAAGTTCAAACACAAAATCAAATAAAAATGGACACGAATCTCAGCTCCTCGTGCCCTCGCCGAATCACACGCTGCCCCTGCGCACGAGCTCCAATGCGTCCTCGTTGCGCTTCAATATGGGTCACGACCACGACCACGACAAGAGCCCGGATGGTTCCGAGGAGGGCCTGGGCTATACGCACACGCTGGTGAGTTAATGCACAAAGTGAAACTGATTCATATAGGATATTTCTTTTATTATATATACATATACATCAATACATTACAAATAAGGGTAAATATGTTAGTGTTTACAGCCTCGAGCCTCAAAATTCGTATTATTAATCTCTGTCACAGTCGAGCTATGCATACTTTTTATATGCCCGACAGATATGACTATATAGATTTGTAATCTTATTTATTTTGGTTTCCAAGCGCGACCACATGACTTTCCAGATCATATGATCAGATTTGCGAACACAGATCGAACACATGATCTGGCAGGCTAGGCCAACAAACAACCAGTTGAACAAAGACAAATATGTATGGACGCACATGTGTACGAGCGTACTCCAACTGGGTTTCTCTCGCTATACCTGTTGGTTAGACATGACGTATCATATATGTATATTCATACACATATTCATTTCTTGAATAAATTATAATTATTTAAATTTGGCAAGGGGTTCCCCGAGCAACAAAACAATTCAACCACTTTAAATATGGTATAGTACATATTACTATAATTATTCGGAATTCCAGACAAACGAAGCATTCACTTACGGTACATGTATAGGTATTATATAGGTTTTTTGTCCAGTCAGTCACATTTATACGCTGCTTTTGTTTTGGTCTTTCTCTTGCTCTGATCAACAAGCATAGCACTCACTCTACCCATAATTAAATACAGACCGTATGTGTGCTTATTCAGAGCTAGATCTAATATTCTTAAATAATCTATACATATAAATAAACAAATACATAAATTTGCATCATCGACATGACAAATTAAGAATATAGTCATAATTATATTCAAATTCCCTTTGAAGTTGTTTGACCTTAGCGCATTGCTTTGCTGTAGATGCTGCGAGTGGGTCATCGGCTTATCTGTTTGCTTTAGAAATCTTATGATTAAGCGTTCGGTGTGTGATAAGAAAAAATTAGCATGGTGGAGCTGGTTGCCAAAAATAGCATAAATATAAAATAAACATTTACACAATTCTCTCTGCTGTCTCTTGAAAGCAGCCATGGAGCTCTTCTTTGGCGATAAACGATTTTGGCACGCGCTCATGCAGACCTACACGATCCTAGGTTGGAATAATAGCTTGTTTAAATTATTTTAGTTTAGATAAGGCCTGACACTTCTTAAAATCTTTTTGCGCATTTAGAAAAGTACGAAAAGGGTATTTAATCTTCTCTTTTGCAAAGTATATAATTTGATAAATACTGCCGCCGCCATAATTTTTGGATTTTTATAAAAATTATTCCAAAAATGTGCTAATCATAAGTTATTCATAAATTATTTTATACTTTTATAACGTCTATCGAGTTGATTGATTGATTTAGGACAACGATTGCAATTTAGCATTTATCGCCTAATGAATGAACAGAAGTAGCTCGTGCTTATGCCCTGGACCCATGGTATTTATGTTAGCTCAAAAGGAATTGAAATCGGACTCTTAATTACTCGCGAAACTCATGCGCTTTTTACTTTTTACGTAAGCCTATTTGATAACGGCTATTTCCGTAGCTCATTTATTATTATTTTGACATTAGTAGGAAAAGCCAAATTGCTAGTCAATTGTTTCCCAAATGCGCTAACTGTTTTCAGTTGACAATATCATTAATATAGGCATTACTTGGGAATCTTTTTAACTTGCCGACAGTTGAATTGATGAAATGTTTCACATTGCGCTTCAAAGCTGTTCAAATTCATTTACAATGTTTACACACAGTGCATTATTTATTCATGATATCAAATGGGAAATACTACATAAACAGCCCTTATGTATTATTATAGATAGTAGTGTTAATAATTAGAGGACTGATTGCAATAAATTTTTTTGCTTGAATTACCGAATTGAGAATCAATTAAATACATTATTTAGTTTGAGAGTTTCACAATCATATTAGAATTAGAATTCAAATGGACTATTGTATTCTTTTCGACACTTTACAGTTGTTCGATCATTGATCGTTGGGGCTTATCTGGCCTAAGCTCCATAAGCCATCATCATCAATCAAAAGAACTTCCCTATCGGCGATCACTTTGATTTAGGAGGGGCGACGATTGAGGCGTAAAATCCGAATCGATTTGATTTTGCGGCTGCACTCATTGATTATGAATGTTTACGGTCGATTTATTGTTTAATACAATTAACAATGTGCTTTATTGCGGGGCCTTAAAAGCTGTCGGCAGCTATTTCGCTACCAAACAGTTGGCTCGGGCCATAAATGTGAATTGCATTTGTGATAATATGGAATTCTTGATTCTACTTACATAAGTTTTGAATTTATCTCGAGAATCTGTGCAAATATTACACGATTACGTTATTTGTTAACATTTTTAATTAATTTTTGCACAGGTGTTGTTGTTGCTGCCGCTATTCACGCCTTTATCTTGGCCCGAATATCGGGATCGGGAAGCTGTTGAGAACTGAAATCTACGGCTGCGGCCAAACATATTCCATGATCTTCAGTTGCCCTGGAATTGTGGCCAAGTTCACTTTACTCTGTTATTGGTTGTGCCTCTTTTTGTTTCCTTAAAGTTCAAAATCATCAAAATTATGTTAAAAAGTAATCTTAAGGTTTGTCAAATGTCCCGAAAAGCTAAAACTTTTTACATTTAAAATATAAAAATAACCTTTTCGATGAAAAACTTTACCAAAATTATTATTAGTTAAAAAATGAATAAATAAATGATAATATTGAACTGTAAAATAGCCGTAAATTTGAAATCAAAAGCTATTGCCTTAAATATTCGAAAAGATATACCTGCTACAAATTAAACAAGGCTGAAGGAACTGACCATTTGTTTCTTTATTTTTTAACTGTTTCTTATAAATTGGTTAACATTTTTGAATTGGATTCCGTAAGAGACGCGCCTTCTTTTATCTGTGTAACAACAAAAATAATTCACAAATAATACACAAGACTATCGAAAAATACAATAGAGATATCTTAAATATTATTTGAAAGTATAAATAAATTTGATATATCGTCTAATATACGATAAGAGGTATACTATGAGAGTGAATCTCTAAGTTTTATACATATACAAAATGATTTATGAATGTAATGGAAGTGGCAAGCAATTCAATTTTCCCCCCCCCTTAATGGGAATTGATGTCGTTCTGGGAATGTGCGCGTTCAGATATTGAAATAAACTGATATAATGGGATAATAGTTATAGTCCCACCATATGACGCAAAGATAACTGGAATTATTAGGCGACAATCTCAATTTTTCTAGGCATTTCTCCATCTTATTCTCTTCTTTTATCCTCATCTGTAGAATGATTTTGCGAATAGAATTAATATAATAGTATTGGAACCAATAAAATTCAACTTAATATCTTAATTCAGATACTTTTTAAATATTATTTAATTTCTGATATACGATAAAAACAAAAACAATAGCAGTAGTATTGTTGAAAACAATAAACCTAATGATAAAGTCCATATTTTGAAAAGAATTTCAAACTAATTATATTTTTAACTTACATATTTATATTATTTCACTCAGATAAAATATAAATTTTATTATATTATTATTATATATCCATTGCTTTACAAGTGGGGCTTGCAGCTCTTTCCTTTCTTATTTTTCTGTCTCTCTTTTTCTATATATTTCCCTTTTCTTTCTCTATATATATTTCCCTTTTCTTTCTCTCTTTATATCTGCCTACCCTCCTCTTTCTTGCTCCATTTTTCTCGCTCTTTGCCTTGACCCTTATACTTCCCTCTATTTTTTATTTTTTGTATCCCTCTCTCATGGGGAGAGATACAAAAGTATTGTGTTCAGCTTTCTAAGCTTTTATATGACTTTCTCGAATATTCCAAGCCTTTTTCTACAAGTTTTTCGCTTTGCGCACTTCACTCAGCGATCCACTTCAGCACAGTCGCATGGATTGAATCATTAAAG